GCTAGATACAAAAGAATACATGTTGCATGAAGTCAAAATAATAATTACATTTGGGGTCATTGTTTATTTACTCTGAGAGAGGCATGTGGGAGTCTTCTGGAATTCTGAAAATGTTCTGTACCTTGACCTGGGTGGTGGTTATATAAGTGTATTCATTTGCAAAATCCAATGGGCTGAACACTTAAAATTTGTGTAATCTATTATATGCATTTTGTACCTCACTTAGAAAGCTTAGAATATAATCACAACCATATACCAATTATCTATTTCTCTGTAACAAACTACCCCCAAACTTAGTGATTTAAAATAACAATTTATTACTATGTCTCATGTTTCTGTGGGTTGAATGGGTTCAAGTGTGCAGTTCTCACTTGGGTCCTCTCATGTACTCAGGTAGTCACTAAGGCTGGAGATACCTGAAGGCTCGGCTGGGCTGAACATCCAAGATGGTTCTCTATGCGCTTGTCTAGGACCTCACCTGGGATGCTGGAACAGATGTGGACCAGCCAGGCATGTATCTCTGTCTCTACACAGCTCTTCAATGCGATCAGGTGAATTTTCTCACAGCATGGTGGCCCACAAGTAGTTGAAAAATTTACATGGTAGCTGACTTCCCTAAGAGTTAGTGTTCAACAGACCCAGATAGGAATCACAGGCTAGTGATGACCCAGCCTGGAAAATATGCACCATCATTTCCACTGCATTCTGGCCAGCTCAGATTCAAAAGGAGGGCTCTCACAGGAATGTGAACACTGGAAGGTGTGTTTCTTTGGGGTGGCATCCTTTAAGACTAGATATTATACTATGACAATTTGAATCTTTTGTCATTATTTAGTAACCTTATTTTTTTCCTGCAGCTCTTTTTGCATTAGAGTTATTTTTGGAGAGGTGAACATAGAAAAAGGCACCATCAATCTTTTGCTTGAGATTCTAGAGTTAGGGTAGGATGCTTGGTGCTGTGGCAGCCATCCCAGAACCCTGAGGGAGACATCAATGTTGTACTGATGATGTCAGAGCAAAAAGACAAAAATATTGATAATGTTGTTGAGTTGCTACACAAGTCCTGGGACTGTCCACCTCCCAATTTTTTGTTAGGTGGTGTTATGGACTGAAAGTTTGTGTCCTCCCAAAATTCCTATGCTATAACTCTAATTTCCAATATGATAATATTTGGAGGTGGGGCCTTTGGGGGGTAATTAGATTTACATGAGGTCCTGAGGCTGGAGGCCTCATGATGAAATTGGTGTTCTTGTAAGAAAAGGAAGAGACAATAGCCCTCTCTGTCTCTCCACCATCTGAGGACACAGGAAGAAGGCAGCCATCTCCAAAACAGGTGGAGGGTCCTTGCCAGAGACCAAATGTGCTGGCACCTTGATCTTGGACTTCCAGCTTCCAGAGCTGGAGAAATAAATGTTAGTTGTTTAAATAATAAGTAAATAAACAAGGTCC